GGGTGGTGGGGGTGGAGGATACGGCGGCGGGGGAGGGAAAGGGCGGCGGCGGTGGTGGAGGCTACAGCGGTGGAGGGGGGAGGTGGCTATAGTGGAGGGGGAGGAGGCGGTGGTTATGGAGGTGGTGGAGGAGGAGGGAAGGGTGGTGGTGGCGGAGGATACGGCGGCGGGGGAGGAAAGGCGGCGGCAGTGGCGGAGGTTACAGCGGCGGAGGGGGAGGTGGGTTATAGCGGGAGGGGGAGGAGGGAAAGGTGGTGGTGGTGGAGGATACGGCGGTGGGGGAGGAAAGGGCGGCGGCGGCGGCGGAGGTTACGGCGGTGGAGGAGGAGGTGGTTATAGTGGAGGGGGAGGAGGGAAAGGTTGGGGTGGTGGAGGATACGGCGGTGGGGGAGGAAAGGGTGGCGGCGGGCGGCGGAGGTTACGGCGGTGGAGGAGGAGGTGGTTATAGTGGAGGGGGAGGAGGGAAAGGTGGGGGTGGTGGAGGATACGGCGGTGGGGGAAGGAAAGGGTGGCGGCGGCGGCGGAGGTTACGGCGGTGGAGGAGGTGGTTATAGTGGAGGGGGAGGAGGGAAAGGTGGGGGTGGTGGAGGATACGGCGGTGGAGGAGGAGGAAAGGGTGGCGGCGGTGGCGGAGGCTACAGCGGTGGAGGGGGCGGTGGCTATAGTGGAGGGGGAGGAGGCGGTGGTTACAGTGGGGAGGAGGAGGAGGGGAAAGGGCGGTGGAGGTGGAGGATATGGCGGTGGGGGAGGAAAGGGCGGCCAGCGGTAGTGGAGGTTACAGCGGTGGAGGAGGAGGTGGATACAGTGGAGGAGGAGGTGGTTATAGTGGAGGGGGAGGCGGTGGAGGGTGGTTATGGGGGTGGCGGAGGAGGAGGAGGGAAGGGTGGTGGCGGCGGAGGATACGGCGGGGAGGAGGAAAAGGGCGGCGGCGTGGCGGAGGTTAAGCGGTGGAGGAGGAGGTGGTTACAGTGGAGGAGGAGGAGGCGGGTGGTTACAGTGGCGGAGGAGGAGGAGGAGGAAAGGGCTGGTGGAGGTGGAGGATATGGCGGTGGGGGAGGAAAGGGCGGCGGCGGTGGAGGAGGTTACAGCGGTGGAGGAGGAGGCGGTTACAGCGGAGGGGGGAGGAGGCGGGGTGGTTATGGTGGAGGCGGAGGAGGGGGAGGAAAGGGCGGTGGAGGTGGCGGATATGGCGGTGGGGGAGGAAAGGGCGGCGGCGGTGGGGGAGGAAAGGGCGGCGGCGGTGGTGGAGGTTACAGCGGCGGAGGAGGCGGTGGCTCCAGTTATAGCGTCGTGCCCAGCTCAGGGGGAGGGGGAGGCAAGTATAGTGCCGCTCGGGCTTCCTCACATTATAGTGGTTGAGTGAATGTTTATTTGGATAGTGATGGTTACAATGGCTGCGTACGTTTAAGGTTGTTTTAAAAGACTGTGTTTCTTGTATCGTTTTTGGCGCGTGTGCCTTCTATATGTTTTAAGTCCTCTGCGATTTTGTACACGTTGTAACACTGCTCGCGTTTAGCGTTCTATTTATGTCACGGTTGTTGTGGACAAGCTTTCTTAGAAGTTGTGCCGGAAGATGGTCTCGATATTCTTATTTGTCAATTGCACATATGGAATTACTAGAGGCCCGACTTGTACGTGACCTGGACGACCAGCCTCCGCATTGTAACATCACGGTGGTCTGCCACGTTTTCTCCTCTCGGTGTCACTCTGTGCTCGGTGTCACTCGGCATGATTTGATGAGAATCTGGTTACACTAATACAGAGGCCACGTGATAATTCTTGTTCAGTCACAATGGGCTAACGTTGGCGAGCGTGCATGAGGAGTTAAGGCCTATCGGTGTGGTTCTTGTACGTGGGATCAGTCCCGTTCGCTATTCAACACTCGGCGGCAGCGTTCGTTATAGGCGGTGTCGTGGCCAGCAGCACATTCAACAAAACAGGAAGGAGCGTGTTTCCTAACACAGCACGATATGCAAATTACAGCGGCCAAGGAAATGCTGATCTATCAGTTCGAGTTCTAACAAAGTTCAAACAATTCAAGGTGAAGAAGAGTGTGCGCGTTTGTGATCCGGCTAAAAACTTCTCTATTGGGCGTAAACGATTCAGACAGTGTCCAGCGGTCGTTTTTTATGTCTTCACGATGTTCACCTCCCATGGACAGTCAAGGTCAAATGTCGCACATGACTATCACAAGCGGACTAGCAGTGTTCTCGTCAGGGCTTCGGACGCTGATTGGAGTGCAGTCACCTCTTTTTACGCGCAACATCAACATTTGAGAGTCAAGTTGGATGCGAAGGATCAAAGTTATTTAGATTTGCTTATCATCATTTAGCCGAAGACATGATCGCTGTTCGTATCTTAAATGGTGTTCACACCAGTGTTATTCGTTCCCTCGATCACAATCAGTTTATCTCCTTGGGGAGCATAGTAGAAAAATAGCATTTTAGCATAACTCAGTTGAGAGCACAGTTCCTGCTTGATCAGTGACCGAGTACTAAGGCCTAACGTGCCTGACAACACTTTTCGAGCTTGGAAAAATACCATATATAAAACAAACATATAAGAATACCTGACCTTAAACCAGTGCGTAAACACGCCTCAGTTTTTGAAGCTTTCCAACGTTTCCATTATGACACACAACTGAAACACAGAAGCAACCTTCTAACGCTACTGACAGTCGGAAGTCCTGTCGTGATTATCAGATGAGCATAAATATATCAACCAGAACGGCATATACACTGCCATAACCGCCATCGTCGTCACTGTCATTGTCATCATCGACGGACATCATTGCCCGTCCCGGTGGCTCACTTGGATAGAACGCCTACCTTTCGATTCACCCGCCCGTGGCGGGGTGGGTTCGAGTCGCTTCAAGGCGCTCGCTATTTGTCCTTGACAGGTATGGCCTGTGGCCGGTGGCAGCGGTCGCCCTGAAGGTCATTTGACGCCAGAGGGCAGGACGGACCGTGCCGGGCATTGCGGCACGTTAAGCTTTCTCCACCAAATTCTGCCGTTGACATGGAATGGCGCGATCGGGTGGTAGAGGTCAGGACTCACACAACACGCACTGCTTAGCGTGAGCTCTTATCCCAGAAATCCAGCCATTCAAAGGGTTCAGATCAATCTTAATAAATAAATATCAAATAAAAAAATAAAAAATAGTAATGTTACCGAAAAGTCAGCATAGCGTAAGCCATACATAAGCCATACAATCCTTCTACAACACAATGAGAGTCCCACAATCCCTCTGGAACGCGATTAGCTGATTAATCTGCTAGAGTCAGGACGGGATCTTGCGCATTTTAATCAGGCCATTTCGTCCTACTGCTATAAAAGGTTCCGCTTGTTTCCTTCTTCCTCAAAATCCATCCCGCTGCCGCTCGCCTAACAGAACGACAAATATTGACCAATAGTTTCGCATGAATTATTCTATATTCACACGCTGAACTGAAGAACACGCTGAAAAAAATCAGCACACGCTGAACTGAGGTTGCGGTCCCCCTGATTCAGCCATCCAGTCAGTCAATGCAGTCCATTAAATAATTTTCGCTACAATCTTCTTATCATTCGGCGGGGCTGCACAAAGGTTTTGTGTGCCGTGCAGTACTCCGGAACAGCCACGTGGGTGAGGTTGGCCCGGATCGGCCAGTTGCAGTCATATCTATTTAGACAATCGGTGAAAACCATGCGACTGCGCCTGTGCTCGTAGCCGGTCGTATTACAAGTCAAGTACCTTTGCAACCGCCACGGAGTCCGTACGCAAGCCGCGAGCGATAATCTTCGTGTTACGCCACTGTAGCGCGGAGATTGTGCTTCCATGCTTCCACGCTCCCGTGAAGATTGTGCTCCCGTGCCCTCGGTTCCGAGATATGGCGCAAAAGTGAACGCATTTGAAAACAGGAAAACCCATATTGCCAGCACATATGCGCGCAACACGTGACACGTGCGACCAAGCACTTTCAACCACGCGGTTGCCAGTTCAATTATTTACCGAAACGTGACATTTCCCACGTTGCTCCGACCCGTCGTTTAGAATTGTGCCCGCGATGGCACATCTTGCCAGCTGGCCACCGACCGGTTCCAAATTTACGTCAAGTGCGTTTGCGTGCGTGAGGGCTGGGGAGTTAAATTTAACGAAACCTTCCCCAAAAATACACCAACGGACGATTTTTCAACGGATTTGAGCCACTTGCTTCGCAAAACTGAGGGGCTCGAGTCCAAACCGGAGGCTGCAGCCCCAAGAATTGAATAAAAAGCCGCATCCTTATGACGGGTGTGGTTTTCAAGTTCATGACGCCTACGGGGATGCGCAACAGTACCCTAGGGGACGCGCGGGCGCCCAGTGTACCCGCCTGGCTAGGGAACTGCTCGTAAGACGTGTGGCATAGCATGCAACATTTCCGCAATAATTTGGTGGGGTGGGTGCCAGAAATGAAGAAAGCAGCCTTATTCATAACATAATTATTGTTACCATATAATACCATGACATAACAATATATGTGTTGCGTTAAACAGAACTCCTTTAAGCAAATTTTGACAACACTGGCTACGCTGTCAGCTTCCGGGCAATACCGCTGTTTTGCTCTAGTTGCGGTACTGGAAATCTTTGAGATCAAAAATCAGTTCAATGATAATTTTTTCCAACTCACCATTTATAAGCCTCTGGTATATAAGATTGTATCAATAAGTGTTATCCGAAGGACAGTGCGTTATTTTGACAATAAATGCCACGCAGGCGTATAACAAAACTTATAAGTACTCAGCCGTAGGCATGTACTGATCACCATCTCTAAATGGACGCCGGCTGCGCACGGTTGGGCCGGGTCGCTGCAAACGTTGTAGCATCAAGTTGAGTTGCGGGGTTGACAGAAACTTAAGGAAATAAGAATATGATGAGTTTATTCTTTCTTCTGTGAACCAGATTTCTCAGTAAGTGCTTTGCGATTTTCCTGTGTAAATGTGAAATAGGCTTTATGTCAATAGATGGGAACCATTCACCTTGGGGCCGGACCAGCGAAAGCTCATGCCAAGCATACCCGGCTCGGCAGCGACGTCGCAACCACAGTTTGCAGCTCATGTGCCCTTGAATTTTAGCACACAGCGTTTGGTGCATGAGCACCACTCATGGTAGGGCTGAGCAATGCTGTAAAGGTATGTGGTGCGGCATAAATTATGATATGAATAAATAGGTAATTTCAGCCAAACCTCCATGAGTATTTTCCCTACAAATAGTGTAAAATTCAGTGCAATCTGGCTTTGCCTAGCACTGTATGATTGTGCAGTTTAGGTGTCTTGAGGCCTCCCTGGTGTGATGTGCTCATATGGCTCAATTCATCGATGTTACATAGGCAATTGGCACAGTGGATAATTGTTTCACACACTTGCTTCGCCATGGCGCAAAACCAGTCTGCGATCTTAACCCCCTTGTTTATTTGAAGCCTATGTGACTGGTATGCTGAATAAGGCTCATGCATTTTGCTCATGCGTGTGCTGAAGCTGGTTGAGGCCAAATTATGCAAAATCTGCCAAATTATTTTGCTTGAAATGTCATCCAACTACATTTGCAATCCTCTGTGCACTATCATTATAAGGTAGTGTGGTCATGGTATACATTGGTATGTAATGTTAGAAAAGAGCATTGTACATCAATTGTCATTTTTAGGGCAGAACAGATTGTAAATAATTGTGAAACAGGTCATCTAAACTTTTACTTGGAACTTAAATAACTATGGTAGTCAATGTCTGAGTGCTGAAAACAGACAGCAGCCTCTACCCCTCCACCATTGCTACATGTGGTCACAACATTACTGGGCACCAAGAACCATAGAAATGTATGGGGCCAAGATAACAAGAATTTCATGAAATTTTTGTTGCATCTCTATGTTTGTTGTAGGCAAGATTAGTGTTATGACAGGTATCTATACATTGCTCCAGATGGAAGCAGCAAGTCTTGAGCTGTTGCAGTCTCAAGCTTCTGGTTTTATTTTGTTGTGACAAGAGGGTAAAATGAGTTTCCATACAGCTTTTTTTGCTGCATCATGATGGAATGCAAAATATTTAATTTTACCAATTCACAATCCTGGGGTACAAAATCTCCTGGTATAGATGACATCAGGAAATGTCAAGTTTTCAAACACTGCATGTTTGGTGTATTTTTTATTTTATTTTATTTTATTGAGATTTTGTCCATATCATTCTGAGGCATGAAATGAATGGTTTTATGCTTGTACACTCAAAATTTCAGTTTCCTTATCATATAGTAATATTGTCCATTAAAGGTATCATTTCACCCACTCATACCATGAGTTGTACCCATTATTTTTACAAGTGTGCATCTATGAGTGAGCAAAAAATACATGCTGATGCTAACTTGTTGGTGTCATGATGACATCAGAGCAATAATTTAAGCTTGTGTGCACTGTAAATAAGTGCTCAGAACGTAGGGTACTCTCATCACTAACCTTAGTGCTTAGAGGCTATATTTGGCAATCTTCACAAATGTTGCAAAGTTCATTTTGGCCAGAATGCTCTGAAAACAATTTTATGCAGAAAGAGTTGCAAATTTAGCACAATGTGGCCTGACCTGAGTTGATGCATGCAAACAGTGTTGCACCAGTGTTGCATAGGTGTCTAGTGCATTTGATGATGTTTGGCTGACTGTCCTATGAGATGAGCCTAGGTGACCTTGTCTGGTTAGGATAGTGGCCTTCATGACCATTTTTGCTTCAGTTTTAGGTCTTTGGGAGCCTCATGGTAACCATGTTTTATTATATTTGCTTGTGTGATAAGTTTTAAGAAGTCTGGGCTTAGGCAAGTCATATAGCATGATATTGGAACATAGTGCAATTAGAAAAATGCAAATCAGTTGGGATTAGTCCTTAATATGATGGTAAATGTCTCAGCATGTAGAAAATTGCCATGTGAGAGAATTTGCCAGGTGTCATTAGGCAGCTGAGATGGTTAATGATCAGAAAATTTATGTTGTATAGTCTATACTTTCAATGTTCTGATATCATTGGTGTCAGTGAGGCAGACATTAATGCTTAACACAACAAGAAAATTGTGGTCATTGACCTGAGCCATACCATACTATCCACACATGAAACTCACAAAGTCTGGTATGGTTTTTGCTAATCTGAGGTAGCCATGCCTGTTAGGCCATTACTTACCAGAAAGCTTCAGGATAGCAGTGGAACTGAAGTGGAACTGAAAAGCATGGTCAGTTGGTGCAGCTCTGGTGAAACCATTGTGCATATCTGGAAAATGCACTGCATTTATCACATACTGCATGCAGGCCTGGGCTTGTGATGGTGGGGTGGTCAGCATGTCAGACTCCCAGGTGGGGGCCTGGGTTTGGATCTCAGTTGTGCCATGGCCTTCGAGCACTAATATGGCCAATGCAGTCACCAGCACTGTAAAAGTGATGTGATGTTATGGGTTGTGTGATCTTAAAAAACTACATGAATGTGCTAAAGTCCCATTGACTGAAATTTGCCCCTGTTTTTCCTCAGGTAGCCAGTCACTATCATGCATCTGTACAACCTGACTCTGCAGCGTGCCACCGGCATCACACACGCTGTCCATGGCAACTTCTCGGGCTCGAAGCTGCCCGAGATCGTGGTGTCTCGCGGCAAGACTCTCGAGCTGCTGCGTCCCGACCCCAACACCGGCAAGGTGCACACCCTGTTGGCCACCGAGGTGTTCGGCATCGTGCGCTCGCTCATGTCGTTCCGGCTCACGGGAGGCACCAAAGGTGAGTCCGCTGCCACATGGCACATAGAACACGGGTTGACGACTAGTTTACTCTACTCGCATAGTTCTGGGAGATGTGTCCGCGCGTGTGGAAATGCTGCGCTAATGTCAGGCCTGGCGTGTGTTGTGTATGGTGTTTTGCAGCGACTGGCGCCCCAGCTGGTGGTGGCGTGCGTTGCGGCGCCGTCCGACTGACTGCCTGCTGCCTCTGCCACTCAGATTACGTGATCGTGGGCTCCGACTCCGGCCGCATCGTCATCCTCGAGTACAACCCGGGCAAGAACCTGTTCGACCGCGTGCACATGGAGACGTTCGGCAAGAGCGGCTGCCGCCGCATCGTGCCCGGCCAGTACCTGGCCATCGATCCCAAGGGCCGCGCCGTCATGATCGGTGAGCGCAGCCAGCGGCCCCGGTCATGGTATTTTGATGAGGCAGCGCAAGTAACGAGGTAGAGTTTGATTGCTGGGTTCAGTGACATTGCCATTTGTTTGATTTGTTTGATTGATCAAACCTCTGCTGCCAGGTGCTATCGAGAAGCAGAAGCTGGTGTACATCCTGAACCGTGATGCTCAGGCCCACCTGACGATCTCATCCCCTCTGGAGGCCCACAAGTCCAACACCCTCGTCTACCATATCGTCGGTGTCGACGTTGGATTTGACAATCCACTGTTTTCCTGCCTGGAAATCGACTATGAGGTATGTGCCATGGCATTGCATTCTCATTGTGTTATTCTTTGCATAACAATGAATATTCCCATTTGGTTGACTTCAGACTTGACCTTTGACGTGACTTTTTATTTCGCATTTGACTTAGTTGTCAAGAGATGATCCCTGACAGCTCATCTCAGGTGACGAGACTTTGTGTTATGACCAAAGCATTCTCCTGCCATGACGATGCTTATCGACGCTGTGCACGGCCCGTCCGTGTGTGGCCCGTTTCCTGCCACGCACCGTGGCGCAAGCGTGACGTAACGCCACCGTTGCAGGACGCCGACTCGGACCCGACCGGCGAGGCGGCGCAGAAGACGCAGCAGACGCTCACCTTCTACGAGCTGGACCTGGGCCTGAACCATGTGGTGCGCAAGTACTCCGAGCCGCTGGAAGAGCACGCCAACTTCCTGATCTCGGTGCCGGGCGGCAACGACGGTCCCAGCGGCGTGCTCGTCTGCTCCGAGAACTACATCACCTACAAGAACCTGGGCGACCAGCACGACATCCGCTGCCCCATCCCACGCCGCCGGGTGAGCCACCGCCGGCCGCGCTGCGCCGTAGTCGGGCCTTGGTGAGGGAGCCGCCGCCGATCGCGCCGCTGGGGGAGGGAGCCGCCGCTGATCGCGCCGCTGGGGGAGGGAGCCGCCGCCGATCACGCCGCTGGGGGAGGGAGCCGCCGCCGATCGCGCCGCTGGGGGAGGGAGCCACTGCCGGCCGCGCCGCTGGGAGTGGGACCGCGGCCTGAGAGGCGTGTAGATGGTATGGGCCGTTCGGAGCTGTCATTGGGTATGGGCAGCAGGCTGTGCTGTGGGAGGCGGGAGCATTGCAGTGAGTAAAGTCAGTGTGCTCCAAATAAGCTCAAATATCGAAGTGGTAGGCAAAATTGGTCAGGTGATTTGGGTTCTTGCTTCTGTCGTGCTTATGATGTGATACTTTTAGTATTCTGTGTATTGTATCCATTCAGAGAAACTTCCATATTGCAACAAGCAGACAGGTGTGATGGTGGCCCCTTCACTGTGCGCTCATTTCTGCAGGTCATGCCTTCTCATGTGATTGTGTTTGACGTTGCATGCCGGTTCCTTCAACTGGCAGAACGACCTGGACGACCCAGAGCGAGGCCTTATCTTCGTCTGCTCGGCCACGCACAAGACCAAATCCATGTTCTTCTTCCTGGCACAAACCGAGCAGGGCGACATCTTCAAGATCACGGTTGAGACGGACGAGGACGTTGTGACAGAGATCAAGCTCAAATACTTCGACACTGTGCCGGTAGCCGCATCTATGTGCGTTTTGAAGACTGGCTTCCTGTTCATCGCATCAGAGTTTGGCAACCAGTGAGTCAACTTTTGCCATCAATAGGGGGTGTATGTGACTGCTTGGGAGCATATGGCCTAAATGGTGGTTGAGACTGCCGTGCTGATGTTGCTGTATAGTCGTGACAGTATAAATCACAAAGTGTGGTGTTGGTTTTGATCACGGTCTGTGTGTCCAGACATATATTGATTTGTTCACAAGCATCGTAACTGACGTAACTCACTGTCGTAAGTTAACATTTGTCACTATCAGTAAGTTGTGACCCAACTTGCCTGTTTTTATATACCAGGAATATTTCAGCTGCAAACATTTCTCTATCATAAGTGGTGATCTAGCTTGCCTGCTTTTGTATGGTGGCACTAATCATCTCCCACTGTACTGGCTTGCTGCTGTCCCGGCCCACCACGTGTTGTCCAGCACCGAGCTGACGGCCGGCGCCGCGCCCGGCAGCTACCTATACCAGATCGCCAACCTGGGCGACGACGATGACGAGCCCGAGTTCAGCTCGGCCATGCCGCTGGAGGAGGGCGACACGTTCTTCTTCGCGCCGCGGCCGCTGCGCAACCTGGTGCTGGTGGACGAGCTGGAGTCGCTGTCGCCGATCCTCAGCTGCCAGATCGCTGACCTGGGTCAGTGGGGCGCTCGCCGCCGGGGACGGGACGGCCGAGAGCGGCCGGGTGCCGGGCCGAGAACAGTCTGGCGTCTGTCGTATGGTGGGAACAGGCTAGTCTTGTCCATGACTGGCACCGGGATAGACGGTGGGCGGTGTGAACTGGTTTAGCTCTGTCAGCTCCCATATTGCGCCTGCGGCGGGGTGCAGCCGCTGTTGGCCGCGGCCCCTGTGCCGCGTGGGTGTGTGGCGGCTGACTGACGCGGCGGCGGCCCGTTTCAGCGAACGAGGACACGCCTCAGGTGTACTCGCTGTGCGGCCGCGGTCCGCGCTCCTCGCTGCGCGTGCTCCGCCACGGCCTGGAGGTCAGCGAGATGGCCGTCTCCGAGCTGCCCGGCAACCCGAACGCCGTCTGGACGGTGCGCAAGCGGGCCGACGGTACGTGCGCGCGTCCGGGGCGGCCGGAGACCCGCGCCTCTGGCCTCGGGTCCACTCGTCCGACCGCCGACACCGACCTCCCCCTCCCTGACCTCGGACCAGCCTCTGATTCCGTGGACTGTCTGTAAGGCACGCAGCCCGGATGGTCATTCTGCGGTATCTTTATCCGTGGGTGTAACATGTTGGCCTTTGATAGTTGCCAGTATAATTTCTCACCTTGGCTGCTAGCTTAGCGTCGAGAAGTGGGGTGGGAAAGGACGATGTGGAAGGGTAGTTGCTGCATGATATTCTTAGCACAGTTGGGATGATCAGGTCGTGGATAATCGGGGCTTACCCAAGCTGTACATTCGAGAACCGAGTCCAGAAATCCTCGTATCAGGAGTAAGCTCACCACAAGCTGCCCTGGTTGATAGATTTAGTGGAGCAATTTTCCTGAACGGGAGCTTCGTTGCGTCGTCGTTGTACTTAGTTATGCACGATGTGAAAGCTGGCTGTGAATGTTGACGGGATAAGTCGTGCATATAGGTAAAGAATACCACAACTTGTGCGTGACCAGGGTCTTACTGGCTCCACACCTAGTGGCAAGTTGCAGCATGCTTGGTTTCTTGCTTTGCTGTCGTAAACTGTGGCAGGAAATCTGTGTGCATGTTTTGAAAAAGCGGTGTTTTTAGTGGGGGCCATGAAGTCACGATAGGTGCCCATTTGGTAACCTGCTGAAGGATGTGCAGGTTGCCTTGTACCCCAGTACCGTCCACCCTAGCTAGTCACCACGAGCTCGCGGTCTTGGAAGACAGACTGTGGGTCGTGCAGTGCCCCTGCCCTCGCTCATCCCAACAAAAGTCACCGAACATTTCTAACAAGGCCGGTTTGACGCTCCCGTCAACAACCAGGCTCTGTTCTTTCCAGACGGGACCCGCTCGATCGGCGGCTAATTTAAGCGCTTCCGGCGAAAATCAGGTAATTCCCGAACCGGCCGCTGGGCGGCGCCACCTCTCCGTCTCGGGGGCGTCAGGCGCCGTGGGTCTCACAATGCAGCAGATTTCTCACTGCTGATCTGTCCACGCGCGGTCCTGTTCCGTTTGTGCGCGTTCGCCGTGCGCTGTCCGTGACGACGGCGGTGTTGGTGTGCCGGCAGACGACTACGACGCGTACATCATCGTGTCGTTCGTGAACGCCACGCTGGTGCTGTCCATCGGCGAGACGGTGGAGGAGGTGACCGACTCCGGCTTCCTGGGCACCACGCCCACCCTGTCGTGCTCGCAGCTCGGCGATGACGCGCTCGTCCAGGTGAGTGGCCCGCCTCGCGTTCGGGGAGGACTGGCTGACGTGAAGCGCGCGGTGGGGAGTCGCGGGGCTGCCGTCACCGCCTGGTGTCTCGGTCGCGGCGCGGGGTCCCGGGGCAAGCCGGGTCGTCGACGCCGGGCGGAGGGACTGGACTCGATAGGAGCGGCACATGCTGGTTGCGGTAGCGGAGGGGATTCTCTGTCTGCAGAAGGCCGAACTGCCTGTTGCACCGTGAATTATGGCGAACATGTTGCTGCGCACGCGAAAATCAAAGCCATGAACTGTGCCGAGCCGTTTACGTTTGCCGTGGGCGCTCCGGCGCTATAACGGCCCGCCCGTGTTGGCAGATCTACCCGGACGGCATCCGTCACATTCGGGCGGACAAGCGCGTCAACGAGTGGAAGGCTCCGGGTAAGAAGACGATCGTCAAATGCGCCGTCAACCAGCGCCAGGTGGTGATCGCGCTAACCGGTGGCGAGGTGGTCTACTTCGAGATGGACACGGTCAGTAGGCGGAGACGCCGGGACCGGCCGCGCGCGAAACCCGCAGCCACCGATGCTGGGACTCGGTGGCGTATGGTGGGAAATTGGCCGGTTTGGGTTGCCGCGTTTGGTACGTTGCGCTATTGTGTTTCGTTACCTGGTGCTGTTTGGGGATGTTCGAGCGTCGCTCCGTGGCTGGAGAAAACCCGCATGTTGGTGGTTGGGTGTGTCGGCACAATCCGAGGGTGTCTCAGTACCGTTGTGACACCATAAGCACGTGCCGTAGATCATGATCTGGCCCATTCGCCCGACAGTCGGGACCGACCGACTGTCGGACTTCGTGGCGCAGTACACTAGCTCGTCAGTGGCTCGTGCGAGCCCCCCCCCCCCCTCCCCTTCTGGGCCAGCCTTCCCGGACGCGCGAAGCCCCATGGTGTTAACGTGACTGCCCCAACGTGGAGGATCTGGTTGCTGAGTTTGTTTCATTTGTGTAAAGCGGCGATGGCGTTTGCTGGCTGTCTGCCGAGCCCGCGTAGCTCAGACGACTCCTGACGCGGGGTCACCGTTGCGGAGTTGACCTTCGGCGACCTCCCGACCAGTGTCCTGCCGAGCCCACGTGCCCCCGGGCGGCGCGGCCACTGACAGCCATCCCGGCGCCCCACGGGCCGCCGTTGGTGACGTCACCGCTCGGGTGTCGGCAGACGGGCCAGCTGAACGAGTACACGGACCGGCGGACGATGTCGTCGGACGTGGTCTGCATGGCGCTGGGCTCGGTGCCGCAGGGCGAGCAGCGCTCGCGCTTCCTGGCCGTCGGCCTCACCGACAACACGGTCCGCATCATCTCGCTGGACCCCAGTGTGAGTACGGCGCTGCCGCCGGGGAGGTGGCGCTGCCATCTGATGAATTCAGTTGCTTGCTGTCCGGTTTGACGTTTACTAGACGTGACACACATCCACACACAACAATGATACTGATGTTCCCACCATGAGGCGTAGGGCGAATGGAATGTGCTCATTTTTGATCAGACGTTGGCAGGACGTTTGAATGGGTGGATGTGAAGGGCCACCTTGCGGGAAATGTCTAGGGAGGGATGAGCCGCAGAGCGTGCCGTCTGCGGCGGGCCGCCCTGCTGCGGTGCCGCCCTGCCACACTACCGCAGCTGGTCCGAATAACCGCCGGACCGACACATGGGTCCGGCGGTCCAGACTGTCCAGTACACTGCTGTGGGGTAGACCACAGGCCTACGGCGCCCGAAAGCCCCAATGACCAACCAACCTGACTTATCAGGCATGCCTTGAGTGGTAACAGACAAGTTCAGCTGGTGTGCGGTGGCGTTCGTCACCGTCAGATGGGGGTTTTTCCCGGCATCCGTGCCGGCCGGTGTGACGTCCCGTGCTGCCCGCGCGGTGTGACGTCACGCCTGACCCGTCGCCCCGGCGCCGCCTCAGGACTGTCTGGCGCCGCTCAGCATGCAGGCGCTGCCGGCGGCGCCCGAGTCGCTCTGCGTGGTCGAGATGGGCGGCACGGAGGGCGCCGACGGCGAGCCCGGCCTGCAGGGCTCTCTCTACCTCAACATTGGACTCCAGGTGGGCCGCGCACCGTCGCCCACCGTCGCGTGTTGTGCCAGAACATCCCACATGGCCAGGCTGTCCTGCGTGGCATCGTCTATGTTATGTGCGGTGTTAACACCTTGGTTATGTGGGCGTCGACCCTCTCACCCGTCACGCCCTCGCTCTGTGATTTCGGTGTCAGTCACCTCATCAATCGCCCCCTCGCTCTGTGATATTGATGACAGTGTTTTCACCCGTCACGCCGTCGCTCTGTGATTCCGGTGTCAGTCATCTCACCAATCGTCCCCTCGCTCTGTGATGTTGACAGTCTTCTCCGGCGCGCTCTCGCTCTGCGATATTGATGACAGTGTTCTCAGGCCGTCGCGCCTCGCTCTGTGATACGAATGACAGCCTCGTCACACCCTCACTGATGCGGGTAACAGCAATGTCACCCGTCACGCCCTCGCTCCCTCCATCACTGGGCCGGCCGCCGCTCTGACGCCCATCTCCCCTGCCGTCGGCAGAACGGCGTGCTGCTGCGCACCGTGCTGGATCAGGTGACTGGTGACCTGTCGGACACGCGCACTCGGTACCTCGGCTCCCGGCCCGTTAAACTCTTCCGCGTGCGCATGCAGAACAACGAGGCGGTGAGTGGGGCGCAGTGGGAGGGAGGGAGGGGTGAGCCGCAGAGCGTGCCGTCTGCGGCGGGCCGCCCTGCCGCGGTGCCGCCCGGCCGCCCTGCCACACTACCGCAGCTGGTCCGAATAACCGCCGGACCGACACACGGGTCCGGCGGTCCAGACTGTCCAGTACACCGCTGTGGGGTGGACCACAGGCCTACGGCGTCCTGAAGCCCCAATGACCAACCAACCAACCATAAGTAACAGGCTTGGAGAATCGACATATAAGTTCAGCTGCAGTAGAATTAGTGGGGCGTCGCCTCCCCCACGGCCCACTGTCTGCTCGCGCTGAGTGTCGTCTCGACCACCTCTTCGGGCGCTCGCTGCCGTCTGCTCATCAGCGGTGACTGGCGCTCGGGGTGTGCGTCCGTGGGGTGACCGGGCTGCGCCCGCCGCAGGTGCTGGCCATGTCCAGCCGGTCGTGGCTCAACTACTACTACCAGAGCCGGTTCCACTTGACGCCGCTGTCGTACCAGTCACTGGAGTTTGCCAGCGGCTTCGCCTCCGAGCAGTGTCCCGAGGGCATCGTGGCCATCAGCACCAACACGCTGCGCATTCTGGCGCTGGAGAAGCTCGGCGCCGTCTTCAACCAGGTGAGAGCGGCCGCTTCTCTGCCGACAGGAGGTGGCGTCAGGTGCTCTGCGTGCCCTTCACATTCAGTTGGGCGGCCGGGGACGCCTGGGCATGGGCAGTACACTGAGGTCGTAGCCATTGGTGCTGGTTATGAGCTCTGCTGTGCACTAAAGGTGGTCTGACTTCGTATGAACATTTACTGCGTGTCATGTCGGGCGAGAACATGGAAAGGGGAGAATGCACGGACGGGGCCCTGTGCTCGCGAGTCGTCCTGCGGGCGGTCGCTCTGCCATGCCAAACGCTGCGTCTGCCCCCCGCCAGATGTCGTACCCGCTCGAGTACACGCCGCGCAAGTTCGCCATCCACCAGGACAGCGGCCACCTGGTCATCATCGAGACCGACCACAACGCCTACACCGAGGAGACGAAACAGGCGCGCAAGCTGCAGATGGCCGAGGTGGGTGTGGCTGGCGGCCGGGCCGCGCCCGTGGGCCGGCGGCGGACGGCACTCTGTGCCCGGCCCTGTCCGTGGCCGGGTCCAATTTGAACGTCCGCCACAGTGACCGCGGCGCCGGCAACAGGCCGGGCCCGTCCGCACGGCCTGGCAGGCCGGCTGCCGCTACACCTGTGAGCCTGTGAGGCGCAGGCGTGTGTCGTGGAGTTCATTTTGAAACTCACACGGTGTTTACGTAAATGACATTTGTGTTCTGGCTTTCCTACAGACAACCTGTCGGGCAGCATAGCTTGGGTTTTGCTGTTGCTTATCGAGGTTTCGGTTATGTCATGCGTTCTGCTGATACTGTAGTGGGTGCAGTAGCGTCGACAGTTGGCCGTACTCGGCTGACTCCTCTGCCTGCCGCCCCTGGGTTGGCGCGCGCCGCGGTAAGCTGTGTCTCAGCACTGACGACCCCGCCCGTCGGCCCGCAGGAGATGAAGGAGGCGGCCGGTGAGGAGGAGGCGGAGCTGGCCGACGAGATGGCGCAGGCCTTCCTCTCGGAGAATCTGCCCGAGACGATGTTCGGCGCGCCCAAGGCCGGGCCCGGCATGTGGGCTTCGGTCATCCGCGTCATGGAGCCGGCCGACGGCCGCACCACCCACCTGACCCGGCTCGAGCAGAACGAGGCCGCGCTCAGGTGCGTCCCACACTCCGGCGCGCGTGCGCGCTTGACGGGCATGATCGGGTGGCGGGCGGCGCCGGCGTCCGGACCCCCGCTGGCCACCCGGCGTCGACCTGAGGTCGCCCTGTAGCTCGGCAGCATTGCCGTTGGTCAGGCTGCTGTCCCGGCCAGCGCTGCCTGCTCTAGCCACGGTGAGCTACCTTGTGACTAGGCCAGGACGCCCAGATCGCAGTACCTGCCCTCGGTGCTGCCTCGTCGCTAGGTCGCGTCGCTGACCGTTCGCCTACTCTGTCGCGGTACCTGCCCTTGGTGCTGCCTCGTCGCTAGATCGCGTCGCTGACCGTTCGTCTCCAGTGTCGCAGTACCTGCCCTTGGTGCTGCCTTGTCGCTAGATCGCGTCGCTGACCGTTCGTCTCCTGTGTCGCAGCATCGCGCTCGTCAAGTTCGCCAGTCAGCCGGAGACGGACCAGTACGTGTTGGTCGGTGTGGCCAAGGACTACCAGCTCAGCCCCAAACAGGTCGACTGCGGCTACATCTACTGCTACAAGTGAGTGTCTATCTGTGCATTACATGACATCACTCTCGTAGTGCACCGCTGGGCGAAGGGTCGTCTCGATCTCCGTTTAAAGGCATGTTATGACAACTTGTACTATGCAAACACGTGTTTTCATGTCGAATGCGCCGAAGTGTAGAAGCTGGGTGCTAAAAAAAGGGGGCCAATGCAAATATGCATGTTGGGGATATCCAATACAATCATATTGTGGCAGCACCTTCAAAGCGCATGAGTCAGCGATGCACTGTGTCGGTGTTGGTATTATCTGAGGGCCACCTGTGCTCTGGCAGGCGGCGGACGGCACTCTGTGCCCGGCCCTGTCCGTGGCCGGGTCCAATTTGAACGTCCGCCACAGTAACCGCGGCGCCGGCAACAGGCCGGGCCCGTCCGCACGGCCCGGCAGGCCGGCTGCCGCGACAGCACTGATGCCATGCTCGTATGAACGCAGGCCTGCAGCAGCCCCCCCCCCCCCCCCCGACGGGGCGTGCCCAGACTGTTGCCGGAGGGTTCTCCCTCTCCTCGGGACGCCCCCGGACTGTCTCCGCCCGCCGCCCCTCCGACGAGGCGTCCCCAGACTGTTGCCGGAGGGTTCCCCCTCTCCTCGGGACGTCCCCGGACTGTCTCCGCCCGCCGCCCCTCCGACGAGGCGTCCCCAGACTGTTGCCGGAGGGTTCCCCCTCTCCTCGGGACGTCCCCGGACTGTCTCCGCCGCCGCCCCTCCGACGAGGCGTCCCCAGACTGTTGCCGCAGGTTCCCCTCTCCTCGGACGTCCCCGGACTGCCTCCGCCCGCCGCCCCTCCAACGAGGCGTCCCCAGACTGTTGCCGGAGGGTTCCCCCTCTCCTCGGGACGTCCCCGGACTGTCTCCGCCCGCCGCCCCTCCGACGAGGCGTCCCCAGACTGTTGCCGGAGGGTTCCCCCTCTCCTCGGGACGTCCCCGGACTGCCTCCGCCCGCCGCCCCTCCGACGAGGCGTCCCCAGACTGTTGCCGCAGGGTTCCCCCTCTCCTCGGGACGTCCCCGGACTGCCTCCGCCCGCCGCCCCTCCAACGAGGCGTCCCCAGACTGTTGCCGGAGGGTTCCCCCTCTCCTCGGGACGTCCCCGGACTGCCTCCGCCGCGCCCTCCGCCCCCCGCGCCCTCCGACGAGGCGTCCCCAGACTGTTGCCGGAGGGTTCCCCCTCCTCCCTCGGGACTCCCCGGACTGCCTCCGCCCGCCGCCCCTCCGACGAGGCGTCCCCAGACTGTTGCCCGGCGTGCGGCTCTGATCGCAGCCGTCTGCGTTCCCAGGCTGGTGAACGAGGGCACGACGCTGCAGTTCGTGCACCGGACCGAGGTGGAAGACGTGCCAACGGCCATCTGCCCGTATCAGGGCCGTGCGCTCATCAGCGTCGGCAAACTGCTGCGCATCTACGACCTGGGCAAGAAAAAGATGCTCAGAAAATGCGAAAACAAGGTAACGGCTTCGACGGCGCCGCGGCAGTGAAAAGCTGTCCGTTGTGGTATGATGTTCGCACCGTGTTTCACCCTGAGGTACCCACCGCTGATTAAGATCTCGCGCTGACTCGGTCGTGACCGCCCCGTCCACAGCACCCCAGAGACCCAGCTGACGGCCCCCCTGCTCCGCCGCAGAGCATCCCGAACCACATCGTCAGCATCCAGGCGCTGGGTCAGCGCGTGTACGTGGCGGACGTGCAGGAGTCTGTGTTTTTCGTGCGCTACAAGCGCCAGGAAAACCAGCTGATCCTGTTCGCCGACGACACGAACCACCGCTGGGTGACGGCCACCTGTCTGCTCGACTACGACACGGTGGCGGCGGCGGACAAGTTCGGGAACGTGGCCGTGGTGAGGGAGCGCGCCCCGTCTCGTGCAGCGCGCCGCGCGGCGGCCATTACAGGGTCATGGGGCAGCTTAGCGTGTTCACGGTCCAGCTGGGTCCAGGGGGCTTTGGACGCCCGAGTAAATTGTAGCTGGCGGTGTTGAGTTTTGTCTGTTGTTCTGTATGACTTCATTGGTATGCGTGGCCCACCTGACGCCCCGATACCGCCCGCCAGCTGCGTCTGCCCACCGGCACCAACGACGACGTGGACGAGGACCCGACGGGCAACAAGGCGCTGTGGGACCGCGGTCTGCTGGGCGGTGCCTCGCAAAAAGCCGACGTCCTCTGCCAGTTCCACATCGGCGAGACGGTGCTCTCGCTGCAGGTGAGTGCCCGCCGCTGCCGGCGCCGCCGCCGCCGCCGCCGCCGCCGCCGCCTGTGTCGGCTGCCGCGCGTCATGTCCGTCGCCTTCGTGTTCCGTCTGCCTCGTCCGGCCGGTTGACTCGCGCTCTGTCGACGCCGGCAGAGGGCGACGCTGATCCCGGGCGGCAGCGAGTCTCTCGTGTACACCACCATCTCAGGCACGATCGGCGTACTGGTGCCGTTCACTTCGCACGAGGACATGGACTTCTTCCAGCACCTGGAGATGCACATGCGCTCGGAGAACGCGCCGCTGTGCGGCCGCGACCACCTCTCATTCCGCAGCTACTACTTCCCCGTCAAGGTGAGCCGCGGCCGGGGCACGCCGTGGGGGAATGGGAGGGGAGAGGGTAGTTAAATGCGAGAGGCTAGTTAAATGCAGTATAATTGGTAAGGGTTCCCAGTAATTCTTGCTGTCACTTGTTGTGCATCCGGCTCAAGGATATTTACACTGACGGTCAGATGTACGCCGCAATTTAGTTGTGTGCATGAGGCAACTGCAAATAAGATGGTGACACTTTAAGTTCAAAAAAGGTTTTTGATAGACCGAATGAATCCCTAAAATACTCCTTTCATTAGCATGCTCAGTTCATCCGCGTCCAGCATGCTACGGCGGCGCGCATGATGGCTCTTCGTAAGGGTGACATTTGTTGAAGTGCGTCCATAGTTCTGGTGTGTAGGAGATACTAATTTCATATGCCACTGGTAAGTCATAATCCAATTATTCAACAACATGTTGGACCTTAACTGCCATCTCTGCTTCCAGAACGTGCTGGACGGCGACATGTGCGAACAGTACAACACAATCGACATGGCCAAGCAGAAGTCGATCGCCGAAGACCTGGACCGCACCTCGAGCGAAGTGTCCAAGAAGCTTGAGGACATCCGGACCCGCTACGCTTTCTAAGTGGCGGCGTCTGTCCCGTCGATGGTGTCCGGGGTGTTTGTGGCGGCAGATATCCCAGCTTGCGGTGGTCGAGGATGTGCTGGCTTTTCGTGCGGAGCGGCGTACATGTCTGGCTGCTGGCGTCGCTGCCGTCCAGTGAGGACGCGTTGCAACGCTGCACTTCGCCGTCGCGCTGCCAGCAAGCGGTGATCCGACCGAGCAAACGTGTCACAGTCTTATAGAGGTCGCGCGTGTCTCTGTCATGTATCATATTTCACGAAACGCGTAATAATGATGTCATGTACCATTGCCTGGATTTGACTGTCGACCCGAAGGGACAGACCTCACCGGCGGCGCTGCGAAGGGTTGGCCAATCCAGAAATGGCATCTCGTCAGGTATGTCATTGTTTTCTTCTTATTCCTCCATTCACTTTCCCAGGATGTTTCCTTGTGAAAGCAACGTAGTGCGGATTTGTCCTCATCTCCGCTTGAATGCCACTTCCTTTTTCGGAAACGAGAGATCCAGTTATGTTCAGCTGTTCTTTACTCTAGTATCTGGGGGTATCGCCCAGCAGAGCCCGTGGAAGGCGACGCTGCAGTTTGTGCACCAGATGAAGCTGATCGAGCAGTATCCTGGCGGTCATTCGCCCATGCCACGGCCGATCCCCTCCTGCCAGACCGCTGCGCGACCACTCGCAGAAGATGCCCACGAAATGCAAGAGCTTTGTCTCCATATCGGTCTAAACAGGTGATTACGACTGATGGTACGATGTGCTTGTCATTCGGTCTTTGGGTGTAGCTGTACTGTGATTTATAATGGCATGTAATTATGGCACCATATGAGCTAGTTACTGTCGTGTGCAGTGCGGTATGATGTTCGCACCGTGTTTCACCTGAGGTACCCACCACTGATTAAGGCCTCGCGCTGACCTGTAACTGCCTGCCCCCGTCTGCGGTGTTCTTGTAACCCCAACTGAAGGGGCCGACCTTTACTCTGCCGCAGTGTTGTGATGTACACCATCAGCATCCAGGACGCGCACGTGAGCATCCTGAACGTCAAGCGAAAACTCACGAAATGCAAGAGCTTTGTCTTCATATTGATCTAAACAGGTAATTACGACTGATGGTACGACGTGCTTGTCATTTGGTCTTTGGGTGCAGCTGTACCGTGATTATGGCACCATATGGGCTAGTTATTGTGTGCAGTACGGTATGATGTTCGCACCGTGTTTCACCTGAGGTACCCACCACTGATTAAGACCTCGCGCTGACATGTAACTGCCTGCCCCTGTCTGCGGTGTCCTTGTAACCTCAACTGAAGGGGCCGACCTTTACTCTGCCGCAGTGTTGTGATGTACACCATCAGCATCCAGGACGAGCACGTGGTCATCCCGAACGTCAAGCGAAAGCAAGAAGAATCCGCGGAATAACGTGAAATGCTGGACAATGAAACAAAGTGCATTCTCAAGGAACTGGAGAATCCCAAAGCCTGAAATTCGCAACGTGCTTCATATAGGTAAGTCTGACCCCCCAAATGTCCGCGTGATCACTCACTCCCAGTACGAGTCGACCTGGTCACCTTTCTGAGCACGTCATTTGAGGCTGCTCACCAGAGTTGTGCAGTACGGTATGATGTTCGCACCGTGTTTCACCTGAGGTACCCACCACTGATTAAGATCTCGCGCTGACCTGTAACTGGCCGCCCCCGTCTGCAATGCCCTTGTAAGCCCAACTGAAGGAGCCGATCCTTACTCTGCTGCAGTGCTGTGATGTACACCATCAGCATCCAGGACGCGCGCGTGATCTTCCTGAACGTCAAGCGAAATCAACAATCCGTGGAATAATGGAAAACGCGGCACGGTGGTGTGCTATATCAAGACGCTGGAGAACACCGGAGCCTGAAATTCGCGGCGCGCCGTCTGTAGGTAGGTCCGACTCCCCAAATGTCTGGCGATCAATCACTCACGCCATTCGGGACTGCTTCTCTCGGATTGTGACGTATGACATGATGTTCGCACCGTGTTTCACCTGAGGTACCCACCACTGATTAATGCTTCGCGCTGACCCGCCAGTAACTGCCCCATTGGCACCTCCTCTGGAACTCAACTGACCGCATCCACCCCTGCCCTGCCGCAGGGCATGCAACTGCAGAACCATGTCGCCGCCATCCAGGACGGTCATGGACTACCGAAGTTTCCAACATCGAGCGACACCTTCCAGACACCTGGAAATATGCATGCTCACTTCACACCTTACGTGGAGCTCCTCTATCCTTAATACGGTCTGATGCTTGGTACTTGATACTGATTCCTATCTGTGCGAGTGCGGTGTTGGTTGGCCCGCGGCGCGTGCATCGTGGCATGGCGCTATTACCTCACCTTAAGCCCCGAGAGTGTTGAGACGATGTAATGGCGCCGAGCGTCGTGTACTGAGTGCGGCTGGGGCGATTGCTGTAAATGCATATTAAAGATTGCAGCCATGCGGTGCAAGTATATTTCAAAAATACAATAAATGTCTGCTGTAGTTCGGCATTCTCTGCCATGAATAACGGCTGATGAGACCAATAGACCATGGCCGACCATCAACGCGAGAGAACGGTCGCGCTGACCAGCAGCCCCGGCGCGCGCTACGTCGCGCAACGTGTGGCGATCCGGTTGACGACGGCCTCCCCGAGCGTGCCGACGGTCAGCTCGTGATCGGTGACATTTGCGTTGATTGGCAGCCCCGGTGCGCCCTACGTCGCACAGCGTGTGGCGATCCGGTTGACGACGGGCCTCCTCGAGCGTGCCGACGGCCAGCTCGTGGTCGGTGACGCCGTACAGCTGGGCGACGGCGGCCGGGTCGGCCAGCGCCCCCAGCTGTCGGGATGGACAGCTGTGCCATCCAGAGCCTCGTGCAAGGGCGCCAGCCTGGCCGCGTCCTCCACGGCCACAGCGGCCACCGTCGCGTCGTCGGCCGCCGCGCCCAACGACCGAAACGCCTCAGATATCTGGTGGCAATGGTGCGATGTGATAATGGGGACTCGCTGCAGCTACGGCAGTGGGCTGGCGAATGAGCCGTTTAAGTTTGAATGAAAAATACTATTTTAGCATTTGCACACGGGTCCGCTCAGGGTGGCCGGTTCAGTGCAAGTTTTCAGGGTGGGGATTAATTGCTGAAATCAAAATTGATCAGTAGGATGCATTAGCATACTGCAGGCAGAGAAAATGCAAAAACCAACCTGTTTTCCTGGGGACAGAGAGAATATGATCTCTGAGTTGATATTCCTTGTTTTCAGTGAGCCATCTGCCTGGTTGTGCAGGGCTATGTTGGCTGCCACCAGAAGTTGAAATGAAGAAACTATCTGTAAATTTACATTTTTATGAAACATCTCTTTGATCGGCACATTGTACAGCACATGTCCCGCACACCACCAGGGATGCAGGCAACTGCAGTTGTAACAACAGGGTTACAGGCTACTGGTGATGCAGTTCTATTTCACATTTCCATTGTCCTTAATGGCCTCATTAATATGCGCACAGGTGGCCGGTTGGATGCACCACTTGAGCGGGGATCAATTTGACCCCTCTGAGATTTCAAAGACCGATATTGATAAGGACACCAAATTCACAGGGTGGGTTCGCCTGTCCGTGAACTCATTTGTGTCAAGGTTTGACATTCCTAGATTACTACCTTGAGGTTGAATGGGGTCAACCAATGTCAAACTTCAAATTGGTGTCTGAAGTGCCCCTTGACTTCATGTGAGTGCTGTGAAGCCAGATACATGTTCTAGGCAAAAGGTCAATGGTGTTCAATGAAGGTCAGTGACCTTGTTTGACCTTAATAACATCAAGGTGCCTCAACACCTTCTACATTGCTCCTATTTTGTCACCTGAATAAGCAATGTGAACTATGCTAAGCAGCATGTTGCCAGAGACAAAATGTTGACCCACATCACTTAAGGTCAGTGACCTATTTTGACCTTAAAAAGTTCATGGAACATGTCTATTGCAGTCCTTGCCATTCACAAATTTGAAATGAGCACTGTAACTACCCCATAAATAAAGCTCTCAAGTAAAAAAGAACAGCAGTTTTGACCTTCATTCAGCCTTTTGTACTTGACACCAAGTAAATGGAATTGGTTGTAATCCTAAATTTAATTGGTTTATTGCCTAAGAACCTTTCTCACATATGCCTGGCTTTGTCTGACACTGTTGTCACATCACATTGAGTGATTCCCTAGAAATGCCCTATGCTGATAGCCATGGCCTGCCTTTGGTTTGCCATAGGTCATTAACCTCACAAGGTGCATCTCCTTTTTACATCGAAAGATGTCTTTCAGTCAGCAGCTACGTTAAGTTTGGTGCTGTTATCCTGCACTGTTCAGAAATCATTCTGAAAACACCCTCAGAGGGAGAAAGGAATTTGATTCCCCACCCAGCCCTATAATATAAACTAATACTTCTGAGTTATTATGAGGGTCATCAGCTACCCATGCTGCCTTAGTTCAGAGGACAGGAAGTTTTAATGGGCCACTACTGAATTAGACATCACTGTAGCATGCCAGTGATACAGAATGCACAACCACTGACAATGTGAAGTAAAAATATAGCTATGTAGCTAGATACAAAAACACAAAGGTAGCAAGTATAGTTAATCTACACAGCTTGGGCCTAAACATAAGCACAGCTAAACCTAAATAAAGAAATGTGATTAAACCTACAGATGGATAAAGGTTCAGCTACACATACATCTAGCTAAAGGTCATCAATGAACAAGATGGGGTGATATCTATGAGGACTGACAATCTTGGAACAACTACTGCATAAAAATCCTCCTTTATGTAGCTAATGACAGATTTTCATACTAAGCAAGGCTCAACTGCTGATAGCACACTTAATTTCTTTTGAATGGATTAACAACTTAACCATTTCAAATTCCTACAGATTTATGATAAGAAAAAGCAGTCAATGTTACCCTTATTGTTATATATTAAACCATGTGAAAAAGGGTAAATTGGTGCAACACCAGACAATTATCTTGCATGCATGGCGAGCAAGTGCAAACGACTGAGTCGACTTTGTTCCCAGGAAAAATTAGACACATGCCAACACGTTTAAACTTTCATCAGAGCATACGTGTTTAGCAAAAACTACCACGTACTGACGTAACTTTACTCAATGTGTTGTGCTGCCTTGGAGAAATCGCGGCCCCGAACCACGGATACGTACCTTTTTTGCCGAAACCAACGCCACGTTTAAGCTCCCATTCATAAGCAAAGGCCGAAGTTCTTGACATTCCTCACATCTTTATAAACAACAATGTAAAACGGAAAAATGACTTGTCCCCCACACCCAGTACGTGATACTCCATGGGGGCCGCCATTATATCCGTCAAGAAGTGCATTTGCAGGAAAACAACAAACAATTTGTACCATTTGATGACGTCATATACAATACTAAGGCCATATTTACATATAACTGACGTCAATGACTATGCTTGTTTGCCCTCAAGAAGATAAAAATACTTTTTGCATCAACTTTATGAGTGATTAGCAAAGATTTGGCTAATCATGTTTATAAGCGCCATGATTTTCTGGCTTTTCTGGCGCACACAACACACCGGTGACTTGCTTCGTTTCCACGACAACACCGAGTCGATTGCTCGGACTGCGGAGAGTGGGAAGGGGCGTTGGGGGCCTTCGGTTGGGGTGCGGACGGCTTGGTACCGTGCGGTTGGGTGCAATTAGTAGCGGCGCATTTGTTGTGATCCAATTAGGTGTTGTGAGCACTGTAACGCGCCGCACCAGGAGCTTTCACTAGCCCAAGCCCTCGTTCGTGATGGCCGAAAAGGAGCAGACGAAGGCTACTGAACAGAACTCATCAAACTCCGTTCCTGACGAACCTAAAAATGTACAGGAACTTGCGACTTATGTAAGCAAGACGTGCTTCTCACGTTTTTCCTATCAGATGTTGTGATGCATATAAGAAACGCCATTCAGTTTCCAGAAAGGCCTGTGTCTAGAAATTCTGCCGAACTTGGCCGAGGGCTGATTTTAGTGTAAGAGTGCTCTGGACTCACCTCACTGATGGCATGTGTCATGTGCTGGGGAAGGATTCTTGCAGACTGGCATGTCCATATTTTGGAACCTATTTTGCATGCTAAGGGCATAATTTGCAAAATCATTGCAATGTTCAGGGATTGCTCCTTAAATAAGGAGAAATTGAGACTGCATGATTAGTGGTGCAACTCCTTATATCCATGCACCAAGTTGTACATTTGGCTGGTTGCCTTGATACACACATTTTGAAATTGATATCTTCTCACCAGGCAGTTATACCAGGAAGAGTGATGGGATGCCACCACCAAATATTGGCATTGGAAAAAGTGGTTTCAAAAAGTCAAAAAGGATTAAATTCTGTCCTGATGGCTCAATTGGTTGGAGTGCCTGCCTTCCAATCCACCCACCCCTGGCAGGGTGGGTTTGAGTCGCCTTAGGCGCTTGCCATTTGGCCTTGACAAGCATGGCCTGTGGCATGGAAGGGGTTGTGCTAAAGGTCAGTTGATGTCCCGCAGGACAGACCATGCCAAGCATTGCGGCACATAAAACTTTTGCCACTAAATTCTGCCGTTGCCTGGACTTGTGGAATCAAATGGTAGTGGTGAGGGCTCACACAACAAGCACTGATTGGCCTTAGCTCTGATCCCAGAAATCCATCCATTCAAAAGGGTTCAGGTCAAATCTTAAGAAAAAGTAAAGAAAAAAGTCAAATGGTAAAAATTCTAAAGGGCAGCAAGCCAAGTGACAAAAAGTGAAATGTTATGCCAGAATGCTGAAAAGTCAAAAGATTAAAGTCAAGCATAAAGGTCTGTTAAATATAAAACATCATAGGGACAAAAATCAGGAGGGGCTTTGCCAAAAGACTTTCCAATAATAGGCTTCAAGTCAGAATGAACCAGGTGCCAGGAGCCCTGAAGCAAATAAGGTTAAAAACCTGTTGATTATTTGGGATATTTCCACCCTAATCCAGGGAACCCCATAATCTGTTGACAGCCAGGAGGCTCATGCATCTCATTCATGTTTGGGCTTGGCTCCTCTACATGTCAGCATGGCCCTTTGTATGCTTGCAGGGACCCCTTTTGTTGTAGGCATAGTCAGTGATTACGCAGGAGCGAGGGAGCAAGGGGCAGTAACCCACCCACTAACTGAGCTGGTAGACCTAAATTGTCATTTCTGGCCCTTTCTGCACCAAGAGGCTTTATTTTGTCTGAAGGGCCTGAAACCACCTGTAAAGTTTTTGTAGCTAAAAATCCATGGCACCACTGGTATGAGGAATGTTCTGTTATGGCCATGGTTTTCTATAGTTTAAGGGATTTAAGTGGATAAGCTAAAATATATACCATCGCGAAAAGTCATCATGAGCTAAGACACCTATCCAGGGATGTGGTTTCCTATTCAGTTGGGGGAGCTGAGCCGCCCCCCCCCCCTCCCCGCTCCCACCTTGGGCTTCAGTCCCCTAGACTTTAGGAAGAAAGTGGCCAAATCTGGGGTGAAACCTGTTGGCAGATTTAAAGGCAGGTTTGGTCATTTTTCAATGTTCAGCCCTCCCCTTCCAACCATTTCGAGAAACACATCCCTGCACTTCCATCACGCAACCGGACCTTTTTTGCCGCAAAGCTGGGACTCGGCCTATGCACCTTCTGCGGAGTCACGAGCCGATAAATGTCTTATTATTCCAACTGGCTGAGCGGGCGGACTCTTCATACCCCCCCCCCCCCCCCCTCTTAGTCCCTCCCGTGAATGCCTGACCAGAGGCTCTCGCTGTGTTTTAAAGCCCTGTTTAATCAAGGGAAGTGATTTTTGTAGCCATTCATGCTGTTGTCCATTTCGCGTTTATCCCTTTTGACTTTTTGTTATCCGACTTTCTGCTTTAGACTGTTATCGTTTTTGACTCCTATCCCTTTAAATGTTTGTTCGATTGGATTTTTGCCTTTGACTTTTACTGCGTTGGAAGTTTTGGCTGTTTAGCTTTCTTACATTTGACTTTCAACCTTTTGACTTCTATTTGGCTTCTTGTTCGTTTGACTTTTTGGTTTGACTTTTTTTTTGGTTGGTTTTTTTGACGTTTGACTCTTTTGCGGTTGACTTTTATCCTGTTTGACTTCTTGCCTGTTAAATTTTTGTTTCTGACTTTTTGTTTATGATGTTGTGTCCTGTAACCAAAGCTATTTTGCTATGATTTCGCCAAAACGTTGTACTACGGCTTTGACCCCTCCCATTTGGCATTCAGCCACAACAGCTCTTTTCGAGGTGCACTCTGGCTTTGGAAAAGGGAGTATCACATGTTTGATGTGACGCACTGATTTAAACTTTAGCCCGTGCGCTTCCCGGTAACAGGCCGTTGTCCGCTGGACTAATCACAGGCGGTCGTTTATTCGCGCTAGTCGAGATATTCGCGCCAGTCGAGATATGCACGCCGGCTGCCATGACGAGGGTGGCGCAACTGCAGGGAAGGAGCATAGTGCTGGTACAAAGCGTCGGCACATAATTTGGACTCAGAGATAATTAAAATTGATATCCTTGTTTATAGTAACAGTGTGCAGTAGCTCAACCCAGTGCTGGTATTAGACATGGCCAGTCCTGAGGTTTCATGGGAGAATGTTTTTAAATATGCCGTTTAGGTGGGACACTTTCTTTAGTGGGAAGTGAAGAAAATAACACCAAGTTGACAAGGGATAACTTAAGAGCAAAAATGACTTGTGGATGTCAGGTCATCACCAAATGTTACCTACGTCACACTCAGTTAAGCGCCGAGTACTAGATGTTAAGTAAAGTGTTTGGGACTGATCTTTATACTTTCATAAAGTTATGAGGAACAGACAACTAGTTTTTTCGGGGAGAAGCAACTAAGACACAAAACAATGGTTGAAGGAAGTAGTAACTTGATAAACCTCATAATTGTGCGACCTTAGGTTGGATCGTGGGCTGAATATGACCATGGGACCATAGGACCATAGGATCATAGGATCATAGGTTAAGCACTTGTACTTTGGCATGCCTGATAGTCGGCCTTGGTTAGTGTGAAATTTGGTTGCTGCTGTTTCTGCAATCCTTTGGTTGTAATTTTCATGAGTTCATAGGCAAAATACCCAAAATGATCAGCATACGCAGCTGCTTTGTTTATTTGCATTTTACCTGAGGTCAGGACGTACATAGTACTTTCACGCCACCTCATTTCACCTGCCATCAACAGGCATTTCAAAAAGGTAGTGGGACTCTACTCCGTTCCCATGAGAGCAAGACACAATGTAACGAAAGAAACACAGATGACTCAATCATGCTTTGTATTGTCATGAGTCTTGACCCTAGGGAAAATACTTGTGAGTAAAAGCATCAAGATGGAAACCATGAACACGCCCATGATCCACAAGATCTATGTTGCGCTATTCCTGCCCAGAGTGCAGGTATAGTTCTTAGGTGTTAGCTGTAACAAACGTTGTTGCCATTGAAGTAGCATTTGGTGTAGCAATATCCCACATTCTAGTGGCGCATTATGTTCATTAAATTCCATGAGTGAAGGCAATGCAAGTATTCGAAGGGTCCTTCAAAAATTTTAAACGTATTAACCTTATACGTATAAAACTATTGACGTGTTTGTGTCCACCTCCTTGGCAGGTGCAAAGCCTGCTGGAGAACATGCAGCAGCGCTTCCAGACTATGTCAGACAACATCATCAGCCGAATAGACGAGATGGGCGACCGGATTGACGAGCTGGAGAAGAGCGTGGCAGACGTGATGACTCAAGCCCAGACGGTGGACGACGGAGACAAGTAGTCCCACCCGGCGGCCCCCCAGTGGGTCTACGGCCGATCTCTGGCGCCCGACGGCGTGCGCGGGGCGCGGACACATGTCGGTGTTCAAAGCTTTCAGCCTTGGCTGGCCTGAGTTTGTGTTTGGTTGCTGTGCCGGTCGGCGCGCGCGGGAAGGCGAAGCGAGCGTCAGTCGATCGGCACCGCTGTCGTGAGCGCCGCCCGCTCCTGCGGCGGCCGGCCGCACGCCAGGCCCGTTTGGTGGGCCCCCGCGGGAGTGGTCGATACGCGATACTCGATAGTCGCGGCTCGCTGCTCTGCTAAGGCACATTGAAGAACGGGATGGGCTGCACCATTGATCACTGCCCGTCGACTCCCAGTCATCGTTTGATTGCATCCATCCCGCGCCCAGCACCGTTTTGGAAGGTCACGATGCTTGCAGCTGCCGCGGCAGCATAGTTGAGTTAGTTGGAGAAGAACAGCTACGACCAGCGCGTGGTTTTCATGGATCTGTCGCCACGCAGGTAGTTGGACCATTTGCTTTATGTTGCATTTTAGCTGTTACAATACACACGTGCGCATGCTACGTTTGCCTCTGGAGGTGCGGAGACCAGGTCAGGCGAGCAGGGTTTGATATAGAACTTGCATTTTTTTTTTGGCACAATAATTCTCCCCTGTCATCTTACCTTTAGGTCGGCATGTTTTATGGCGTCAGATAGGATGGCAAAGCTGATGTGCTAGTCGATATGATAAATTAAAGATTTTATTTATATTTTAACAATCACATGTGTATCGACTTCGCGGGGTTACTCTTTTCATGGTTATAGGTGTAAGCAGATATGTTCGTTTCCGCGGACTGATTTAGATGTAGATATAACTGTTCGATGCTCAAGTCGCAGCTCACTGCTCGCTGCTGCTCAGTTCAGACGCTGCTCACTGCTAGAGCGCGCTGAAAAATGAGGTGTGCGGCCCCACGGATCACTGCCTGTCGCCTTCCTCGCCTTCGTTTTGGAAGGTCGCGATGCGTGCAGCTGCAGCGAAAGCATAGTTGAGTTGGCTAGAGACAAAGAGACACGATCATTGTGGAGGTGAGGCCCGCTGCGCTATGGGCCTGTCTGCTACAATCGACACAAGCGATATTACCGCGTAATGATTTAGGTGTGCACATGGTCATCACGGCTGCTACGTACGGTTAAATGTATTTCCACTTCATAGTAACTTTGTTATTCGCTGCTGTGGCCAACCGCCAGCGTTGTGCGAGCCTCTGCCTGAGTTCGACGGAATAAAAGTGATAACCTAATCTGACAAGTGTGTTATTGCGCGAACGCATTAATCACCAAACGCAATCGCAAACACTAACATGTGACTAAAATTAGCAGGCGTCGTAGGCGTGCATGCGGTCTATCGTGGGTTCTTCCTAGCGGTGGACCCCTCGCGGTGTACTGGGACCAAGAGGTTGTCGCCCACTGTCGCACAGGCCGGCGGTAGCACGAAGGCTCCGGCCGCGTGCAAGTGAAAGCCCGACGATGGCACGCCGGATCCTTCCCCGTTTAAGAGCGCGAAATTCTCCGTCTGGGGTAAGGAATACACCCAGCGACCTGGGCCGGCTCTCCGGAGATGCGTGTGAAGCGGGCCAATCCCCCGAGTGCACGATCTCTGCAAGTCGTTCTCGTCGCCAAGAACGAATTGGTAGGCGCACCGGAACGACCTTATTGCATATCGCCAGTGCTACTGTCTTCCGGCACTCTCATCTCCTTGGTCAGCTCCATATGTAGTTTCCTATCGGACGGTACAGCAAGAAATCTCGAAATCGATCAGAGCTCCCGTGGAGCGACTCGCAAGCCAGGAATGAAGGGAAAGAACGTGATGTAACCGATAATGTAGGTAGACAGGAAGAACCGATCAAAGTTGGCTTGATGGAAGTGGACGCTATACGCGCATCTTTCATCTGTCTGCTAATGGGAGCACAAAAGTGGTCAGTACTGGACAGAGTTCCCAAGGGCTTGCCGGGCCCGGAATGCCAGGATTCACTGATGGGAGGGCGTAATGCACGAGGGAGAGCTCTCGCCAGGTCTCACGACGGGATGATCTTTACCGACAAGCGGTCGTCCCGCACCGCGACCATCCCCCGAACGAGTTTACCTGTCTCGTGACGGAATGTGCGGACGGCGGCGCACTGATTGCACTGATTGATTGCACTCACGGCACGAACTCGATGTGCATTTCGCGACGGACGCCAAACGGAGTGTTTCACATTCGCATGGGGTTTTAAACTGAAATGACCATCTCGAAGATCATTCGGCGCAGTTCACTCACAGTCCTGCCCTTAAGACCTAAGCCCCTCTAGTTGTTGAGCCACATGCCCGCGACTATGTGCGGGCATCTATGACGTCATAATAAAGCCATTCAAATTATGTTATTCCATTGGCCAGGCGGCGATCAAGCCAACAAAAATATAACCGTCGAGTCGTTCATATCTGGCGTTCATGAGCACGATTTCCAGATATAACGGCCGTCAGACTGCTCCAAAGCAATGTTGTGCAAGTGACGATGACGTAATCAAAGACGATATATTGAGTAAAGTATATTTACTAAACCTTAACTGCGTTGTCTAGGGGAAGAATTTTCACTTAAAAATATAGTCACATTATTGCCTCAATGTCTTCAACTTTGAAACATTCCCTTTAAATCTTGTTACCCGGTAACTTACTTCGATCCGCGCTGGTAGTTCGATGGCTGCATTGGTTTGGTGACAAGCGACGACACACACACACACACACGCACAAGCGATACTTGACAACAAGCGATGTTCTTATGGTCAGCCCTCTGTGTTCTCACCAGCTTCCCTGGCAAAGAGGCTTGCAGTTCGTGTGTATGCTGTAGCTCCACGGCTTCAGCCTGGAGATGTTCTAAACCCACAGTTATTTTTCTCCTTTCGTCGCCTTGCCGTACAAGAAATTCAGCCCCTTGCCGACGAAGGGCAGGGTGCTCCTGGCCGGGCGCGCTTGGATAAGCTCCCACGACACGTGCCTTACCTTTGCCTGTGAGGCCACCGATTCTCGGTCCATCCACGTCTTCTCCTGCTCTAAGTACTGCTCACGTGACGACGAATTGCTCCAGCCGTTTGTGTCCGTCGCGCTGTTTCTGTCTTCTCCCGTTCATGCTGTTTTGCTAAGACTGGTCCTCAACACATCCGCTATATGTTTTATGTTGTCTTTGATCCGCATCCGTTCCGGCTGTATTTGGCTGGCCTGGGTCCTGAGGACTGGGATCTTTTGCGAGATGGCGAACAGCAGGTGCCCTCTCGGCTCGAAGAACAGTCCAGCCGGCTGTGGCTTCAACATCTGGACTCCGTTGTCGCCGACGGATTCTGAGCAGCACTTCGCTGCGCACAGCGCAAGCACCATGACGTGTATCAGCCTGGCTCAGAGCGGTGGGCCTGTCGGGTACCATCGCAATGGATGGGTCGGGCGGACCGAATGCAGTGTTCTCGCGGCGGAACAGTTCACGTACAATGCGGGGAACAGGTGAGGTACCCTTCCGCTCGAGCCTTACGTTCGTCGTCCTTATTCTGGATTCCTCCCCGCTCTGACCACTCCCGTCTGGATCTGTTACGGGCCGACCTCCGCAGCGGTCTCCCTCGGTTGTCACGTCCCCTCTCCGCGCTCGCACTTGTGCTCGTTTCTCGGAGAGCCACCGGTCCGCGCACCCGCGCTGTACTGGCGGCGTTTGGGATCGAGGGTGCGACGGCCGACGGGGCTCTGTTCTACGGTGATTCCAGAGCAGCGTCCTGCCCGTTGCCTGGGTCCTGTGGCTTCTCTTTGTCCCGCAGCCACCTAGGGTCCCGGCTATCCCACCCGAGGGACATCTAACCGGCTCGCTCCGCATGCAGCAGGGTTTCCAGGCACGTAAAAGGTTCCGTGCTGCGCTCGGGCCGATAGCCCTCGCGGGACACATTGGCTCTTGTTCAGGCCAAACAAGCGCGGGTCGCGTCTCCTTCAGGTGGTCGACGTGCACCCGGAGCGGCGTAACTCGGCGCTCAGAGCGTTCCATCACGTAGTTTCGTGGTCCTTTCGCGCTGTGACTCGGTAACCGGGTTTTCATGGGCAGTGCAGCTTTTTTACTCACCCTCTCTATCCCGCTCATCGAGGAGGTGCACCTGGTCGCCCACTTCAAATCGCTGGTCAAAGGCCTTCCATGTTCCACACCTTCTGGTTCCGATGAGGTGCTGCCAACCGCAGCTGTATAACCTGGGACGCGCGCTGCAGTGGACGCCTTGCCTCGGCTTTCCGTTGTTTTCCTTCTCTTTTCATCGCCGTGTCGCCGTGCCTCTCGAGAGGACCTTGCAGCATGACATTGAGAACGGCCTTGCGAGGCATCCTGCTCATCCAGAGCAGCGGGGCTTCCCTGATGGTTTCTGGACGACCACTCGATAGGTATGGGACACAGGCTAAATACGCGCCCAATCCTGCTGGTGGTTCGCCACAAGCTACAAACGTCTAGATACAATTTCTTCAGCCAAACGGTGGAGGAGAAACACCATGGTTAAGAACGTCCAACCGTGCGCGGAGGACAGTCGGACGTGGTGTCGACCGGTCCGGCCGGTTCTGTCAGACTGGTCCGGTGGTCGCACCAGCTGTTCACGAGCGGAGACGTCGCCCCTGGCGATCCCGGTGTCTGCAGTGTCTCGGCCGTCGTACCTGTCCTACACGGGAGGTGGCATTATCGCACGGCTTACGAGCTGTCACGGCTACATCGCCCGCTCGCACCCCGCGGGTCGCGACATGGCTGGAGATGATGGCCTTAGCCTGGAGACGGCGCGGCTCCATAGCATGGTCGGGCTCGGACCGGGGCCGGTTCGCGATCGCTTGGTTGGGTTCAGCCAATATCCGCAGGCATGGTCGGGCCATTTCCAGGCGCGTTGGCCTCAGGGGCCCTGAAGACAGGCGTAGGTCTGTGCCGAGGACGGGCGCGTCTCTGTGACAGAGGCGGCGGTAGGGATGTAGTTTCCCACAGGGCTTCAGCCCTTCGCCTCTCTCCAACTAAGGCTCCGGGTCCAGCCCCTCAACTTTGAAAGGAAAGTGGGCCAAAGTCGGAGGGAAACCCGTCTGTCTGTTGTGTTTTGGGGATATGTTGAGTCAATTTGTCACTTGTTCAGCCTCTCCTCACCCCATCCCCAACGCATCTTGCGAAACTACGCACTTGGTCGGCGGGGCCGGTCCACGGCCGAGCCCGGCTCGGCATTTGCCCGGTAGTGTTGGCCGATTGACAATCTCCGGGGCGAATTGTTCTCGCACGGGCGCTCATGCCATTCCCACTCCCTTATACGACCTCAGTGCGGCCTATCCTTTGGGGAATAACCTGACTTGAGGTCGATTGAACCGCCGGCCTTCACGAAAGGCACAGCTGACGTGTTGTATATGCCGTCATTTACGTCTCGCTAATGTGGTTAGCGCTAGCTAAAATACAACGTTTTCATTCGTAGGTGCTGACGATCACGTACATTGATTGGTTTCTGCTCCTTCTGGTACTGCATACAGTTGGGTACATTGGGTAGTTAATTTCTGCGCCGAAATCGTTTATAATGCGTCGTAAGCATCTTGTGGTAAACAACTGTGCATGAGAAGAGGGAAAGAAGGCGCAGAAGGAGGTGAGTGAAAGAAGCAAAGGGACTATTTTAGGTACGCTATTGTTCATTCGTCATGCCAAACGAAAGGGGTCACTGGATTTAGATCTGTAGGAGAGCCCTACGTCAGTGTACATTTTGTCATCGCACAAGCTCGAAGGCCGATTTCAAAATGACGAGAACCGGGTTTCTCATATGGTAAACCATACTGCAACGCCTTATGGGTTAGCACTACCGTTGCCTTTCTCCTTGTATTATTGTGTTTCATGTTAAGATCTGTGTTCATGAAATTGCACTTTGCTGCATGTAATGCCAAAATTGCAAAATAATAATTGAAGGTAGGTGTAATCCAGTCTTCGGAACACAACAGGTCTTGGAAGATCCGGTTAGGGTATTGTCCGGTCAATGAATGCAGTTTGGGTATTGTTCACATGATTGAAATGTTAAATGTTGGGCATAATTTGCAGGGATGATTGCATACAATGTTTTGCATGACATGTGTATTGCCCTGCACAGTGCATAACACCTTGTTTTCTGAACTTATTTTGTTTTAATTACAACAGAATGATGTTTGCACATACCACACATTCATTAACCAGGCTTGGTCACAGCAATGCCATGCACAAAACAGGAGGATATGGATGCAAGTTTAAAAAGAGCACCTCCACTGAGGAGAAATTCCAATACAAAACAATGTTGCTAGCATCAGGTCAGGAATTTCCTGGGACTTTGCCTAAATTTATTGCAACCAATGGTAAGATGACACAGTTTTGTTGTTTTGTATTACTATTGGTATGTGGGCTAGAGACTCTGTAATATCATATATTCTGAAAGGCAGTGTACATTTTATTTGGTGCCCAGCTTTCAGAGCTGGGGCAGTAATTCCTGAAATAGCAAGATATTTAGCTATTTGTTTTTGATACTGCATACAAATTATATAACTTCATGACCCTCTGTTCCTGAATATGATGTAAAAACATTGGGGGAGGATGCAGAGCTCTAAAAGCTTACTGATATTCCACCTTCCACCTAGGAGAAAATACTTACCAAGATCCCCAACCCCCTCCCCTCTACACATGTACACACACACACCTAAAATGATTGGCTGTGCTTATTGAGAGGGAATGCAATCAGCTTGTGGATCAAATCAAAAAGCATCATCAAAAGTTGAAGTGTGGTTTGCATCAGGGATGACTTCAGAAGCAGCACACCCAACTGCATTACCAGCAGCATATTTTTTTGTCAAGATGCCCATTGGTCTGCTGTGTGCCCTTTTTGGCTACACATCCATGTTCTCATGTTGTCCTGTTTTCCCTTGCCAAGAATGGTGTGATCACAGAAGTCATTCATTTGGCTATGATCAATGATGCTGAATAGTGCATCATCTCATTTTAACAGGATGAGGAGTATGAACATTGTCATTACCACATATTGCTGGTTTTAGGTATCAGGATGTTAGTGCATACTTAATGAACTAACAAACCACAGCCATTATAATTTGCATAAAATATAACCTGCCATACATTACATGGTTGGATCATTACTGGGTGTGTACTTCAGGTACCTATGTATTTTAGATGAATTGCTCCTAAGTAACAATAATTCATTGTGAGTGAAGCATGTGCGTACAGTGTTACCATTTTAATGACATATTCAGGTAGTTAACTGCTTTCACACCATGTGTTTGGCTGGTAATACCAAGGAATGAGCCATGTGCAAACCTGAAAGGTAGTGTGACCTGAAATAAGAATTCTATGAAAGGAAGGATATGTGACTTTGCAAATACTGACAGAAAAAAGTTATGCAGCTAATATTTGTTTCAAAATCTGAAAATACATAATCAAAATGTTTTACATAAATGCTGCAGGCATAATCATTGAAACCATGAGGGCCATGCATTCCTGTCTCCCCATCAAGCGGACCCCTACTATCTGCATCAGTGTCTCAAAACTTGTGCTGGACTCTTTCAGCTGGGTCTGACTGCATCACTCCCCACTGACGGACGTTCCGCCACGTGCCGAGGAGACTCCAGCGATGTGGGCCACCTCGCTGCTGCGAACGCTGGCCTTGCTGCTGGCGCTGGCGCTGGCCGGGGCTCTGGAGGAGGCGCCGCACCCAGCGACTGGCGCCAAGGCCAGCCAGGATGCCGAGGTCGACTTCCTGAGCGTCAAGCTGGTGACGCACCCGCTGTGTGTGCAGGACATTCACCGGCTGTGCGCCGGCGATAATAGCATCGCGCTCAACGACAACACGCCCAACCTGGACATCATGAGCTGCCTGCTCGACCAGCAGGTGCGTGGCGCTGTGGTCCGCGCCGCTGCTGGGGGCACGCGGCGCGTCAGGACTGCGGACTTAAGCCCCGGAGCCGGGCGGGCGGGCAGTAATTGAGCAGAGCGGGGAACTCCAAAAGGGGTTGTCACCTTTGCGGCGCCGTGAGCGGGGCGTTGCCGACCAATGCAGGCGGGGGCGGCGTGACTCATCGCAACACCGACGTGAAACGATATGACAATGCACTGATGCACCTAGCTCTTGCAAAGCTGATTAGGGCATTCAGAGTTGTGCAAGCACTGGTCCTTCACATTTTCTGTCAGCTGCTAAAATGATGTGCGAGCGGACACCGCTGCTACGGGCACTCACTGACTCTGATGTCCGAGGAATGTGTGTGGTGCGATGTTTGGTGTATTGAGGCTGAAAGAGGACAAAGGTCGGAGCCATATCAGTCTATGTCAGAGGCTGTGACAAATGCTGATAAGCTAATGTTCGCTGATAATCGTTTCCTCTTGTCCCAGGAGGAGGAAGAAGATGCTGGGGTATCTCCACAGTGCCACCACGTAAGCATGCGCTAGACGCGCCCCTGCTTTGGCAATGTCGGGAACGATAACTGGTATACTTAATGCAGCATGCTAGTTTGCTTAAGTGTGAAATGTGAGCTTTATTCAATGGTATGACAGTGTCCCATCCATTATGGCAAGGGCGTTTGACATTAAGCATCAGAGAAGTGAATTAATAGCACTGCACTGTAAATCCAAGCCAATTATTTCGCCGGTAGCACATTTTCTTAATCATAATGACATGAAAGACCTGTATAGCAGAATTGGCTTAGCAACTTTCCTTTGAACGCTTTGAATCTCCATATCCACCCTGTTTGTCCCAAGGGTGTGGAGCTATTTGGTCTCCACTGGTAATATCCGAGATTCCTGCACCTGGAAGCTGTAACGTCTTTAAATTGTTTGAAAATGACATTGTTTTGTTACAATTACCATGAGTG